GTCTTTTTGCCCTTCGAAAACGTGTGCATTGGCTGCACCATTGTCCCAGGCCGAAAGAAAGATACAGGTACAGGCAGAAGCTAGGCCAGCACCTCCGTAGTACCACAGGTAATTGAGGTATTGCTGAACTTAGCTAACTGTTAAACTTCCCACCCCAATTTTGAGGAAGAACACCCCGGGGGGTGGTCCGAGGTTCTCCCGCCCCTCTTTTTTTACCATCAACCACTTGAGAGGACTTTCTGAGATAACTGAGTTCTGGTATTAATAGTGTGCACAAATCATATTGAGAAAAGACTGTCCTTGAAAAGTTCAACAACTGATGCTTCCAAAAGCCTAAATGTAAGAACAAATGTGTTTTCTAAGGCGGAAGGTGTAATAAGCAAGTCTTTGGAGCTCCCGTCCATCAGCATTGTGTAGATAAATGAAATTATAGAACATTAAAATGAAACAAAAAATTTAAAAAAAAAAAGACAAATATAGTTTAGTAACATGTGGAGATGAATAAGCATTAGATATGACAAATATCCAGTCCGAGTCTTTGGATATGTATAAGAACGTCTCTGATTTTGGCCCTAAGGTGTCTGTTCTTTATTGCATACTTCTTAAATGGTATTAGATTGTTGTTAGTCTTAATCAGATGTTTGCCGTCTGTTAGATTACAGCAAAAAATGTAATGATCAGGGTCACCCCTTTCGCTACATATGCAGAGATCCGTGGGGCACATGCCTCTGTCATGGAAGTAGGTGGAGAAAGTACCGTGCCCTGTGATATACTGATTCAGAACATGGTCATAGTGTAGTGCCTCTTTGTCAGTGTTTGAGAAAAAATTGTGGACTGTTTTGCCTTGCAATGCAGAATCCCACTCTTCTTGCCACTTTGAGTCGACAATTGCATTCAGTGTAAATTTTAAATGGGACTTAGGCCACGGGACGTGAATTACCTCATTGTTGATGTTAGTCGTTGCATCCCTTGCAAGAAGGTCAGCTGCCTCGTTGCCGTCGTTTCCGTTGTGGGCTTTCACCCAACTGAGGATAAACTGGATTTCTGGGCGGGCACTTATTGTATTTTGAATATCCTGAAGCAGTTGGTTCTTATTGTTTCTGTCCTTCAGGGTATATAATGCAGATTGACTGTCTGAATAAATAGCTATTGTCCTGAAATTATTTGATTAAGTTGACATAAAATTAAGTTGGTTATCTATGTGGATACCCAGAAACTTCAGGATTTGGGTAATCTTAATTTTCTTTCCGTCCAGGGTGAACGTGGGCTTTCTTAAGAGCTTTTGGCGTGGCTTGTTAAAAAGTATAGCCTTGGACTTCACTTGCGAAATGCAGAGTTTCAACTTCTGGCTTTCTATGTTAAGCTGTTTGAGAGAACCGTTCCTGCAGTAACACATTCCTTTCGAGGATGTCTCTAGTCCTACCACTAACAACCAACGCAGTGTCATCTGTAAACGCGAAGATCTTCGTATGATCGGGAAATTCATATTTTAAGACGTCATTAAAGGTGAGGGCCCAGAAATCTGCACTCAAGCAGGATCCTTGGGGACATCCTCTAGTAAATATTTTGCTGGTTATCATGTTTTTATGAATGAATATGCTTTATCTGTTATGAAAGTAATGTATGAGAATATTGAGATTAGAGGGGCAGTTGGCTTTATTAAGTGCATGTAATACTGAAGGCCACCATATTGAGTCGAAGGCACTTTTTAAATCAACACAAATAAGTGCACTATGTTCACCTTTTGATTTATTCTGTTGGATTTGCTTCAGTATTTTATCAATTGCATGAATAGTGCTTGTACTGGCTTTGAATCCGTATTGGTGTCTACTGATTGTTTGAATTCTGATAAAGTGATATCTCAACCGCCCGGCAATAAGTCTTTCTAGAACTTTTCCTATCGCGGGCAGCAAATTTATTGGCCGAAATGCAGAAGGATCTTCGAGCTTCCTATCCTTCTTCTCGAAAAGTATAATTTGTCCTTTCTTCATGTTATCGGGAAAGGTCAACAATTTTAAGCATTTATTGAAGAAATAAAGAAGGATTCTTGGGTCATGATTGTGCATAATTTTTAGAATTTTGTTGTTTATAGAGTCGGGACCCGGGGCTTTCTTATTGTTGAGGTGCTTGATAATATTATTAATTTCTTGTACAGTGAAGGGGAAGTCTTTTGAACTATTCTGTGAGAAATTGGAAAGTCTAATCTCTCTCTGCTCGGGTGTGTCATCTTTTGAATTGTCATCCTTGAAGATAGCGTCAAGGATTTTGGTTGCTGCTTCTTGCGATAGAATCTGGGAATCAGGAATACTATTGTTGTTGCTTGCGTGATCTTAGTTAGGAAGCGTAATTTTTGTGCGAACGAAGAATTTCCTAGTTGCCAATTTATGGAGGATGCCATACGTATCTTTATTTTGAGAACAAAATTTTTTCCACGAGGTTAATTTAGTTTCCATAATTTTGTTTTTGTAAATCCTTCTTTACTCGTTGTATCTTACGCATGCAGCATTCCTAGAATTGTCGTCCAGTGTAGATTTTATTTTCCTCCTTAAGGCTTTAGTTCTGTTCCTCTCTGCCCTCAATTCTTTTGTCCACCAATTTTCAGTGAATTTATTTCTTGGAGCTCTAATTTTAAAGCTCTGTTGGGATATACTTTGTATGATTGAGAAAAAGTTACTGAAGATGTCATTTAATTGGTTGCGATCCCTGCAGTAGTTTATGCCGTTCAAAATGGAAGTTTTTTCTTTAGCAAGGAGGTTTTTAAATTTCTTGATGCCAGATTCACTTATGTGAAAACGTTTCGTGCTGGTACTAGAAAATGTGAGATTAATCTCAAAGTGAATGAACTTATGATCCGAATTATTTTCCTCGTCCAGTATCTTCCAGTTTTTAAGAAAGGTGCTGGCATTTGTGCTTGAAAGGGTCAGGTCAGGCCATCCTTTACCTGAGCATGTTTCGAAGGAAGGTCGTACGGTGTCGTTGTGAAGAACGAGAGAGTTGGCAGCTATGAAATCTTCTACTTGTTCGCCTCTAGAATCTGATTTTGGATATTCCCATTGAACGCAGTGGGCATTCATATCCCCACCGATAAAGTGATGTGCAGTCAGAGCACTCTGAATTATATTGTCAAGGTATAAAAGATTTCTTTCAATTTCTTCTGCGGGCGAACAGTAGCAAGAAGAAAAGCATAGTTGTACTGTACCTGAATTAATTGAGATAGATATAATGTTTCTATCAATTTTGCATACAGTAGGGTCTAGTTGTTTGCTCGTTACGACAATGCATGCTCTGGGGATTTTTTTCTGGACTGGAAAATATATGCTTAAGTTTTTATATAAAATATTCCATGATAATGGAAACCCTCTTATCTCTCCTTTCACGCTCTATGACTCCTGGATTAGTAAGATATCGTAATTGGATTCTGAGACGAACTGCACAAGTGAAGATGTGGCTTCCTTGCATCTCCTAAGATTACACTGAAGGCAATTAAGGTTCTTGAGAATCTGTGAAGTTTTGATTAACATTGAATGATTTGTGGTAAATGAGGCATCCATAAAAATACTTTGCAATTTGAAAAATGAGAAAAAGAGAAGAGTAACTAGGTAAAGCAAAGGCTAAATTGCGTTGATGAATCGAAATGAAGTATAATTTAAACTATTTGATAATTTGTGATAGCTTTAATTTTTTCTGTCTCTCTTTTGTACAGAGGGCACTGAGGTGCATATGCTGAATGCTTGTAATTAATGTTTGTGCCATTTGCGTTGTTGTACAATCTGCAGTTTATGCAGTTGGGTATCTCAGCTCTGTAATCTTTTATTGAGTGATTGCCTCCACAGAATGCACAGTAAGATTTAAATTTGCACTTGTACTGAGAATGCGTAAAGTCTTGACAGTGGAAGCATCGTTTGACTCCAAAGAACTCTGCAATAGGAAGAAAATTCCAATAATAAGTAATATTCCTGTGTTCCGTGCATGTCTTAAAGGTGAAAGAATTACATTCAAAAATCCATTTTACAGTATTAGGAAGTCTTCCTTTTACCTTAAAGAGAGCGGAGATCCCTTCTTTTTCAATGTTGATCTGATCAACAAGTTCTTGTATTATGAGTTCTGGAGGAGTATCTTTAGGAATATTTGAAAGATACAAAGGTGAGAAAGATACAATGGTGAGAAAGAGTAGTCCTCTGTTCATTTTCCCTGTGCTCGCTCACTGCTGGCTGAACGGAAAGGAGAGAAACATTGGGGCCGCGCTCAATGTGTTAATGGATGAAAGTCTTGAGGCCGACACCAGTAATGACTCGCTTGTTTTTCTTAGGATCTGTGTGTACAACTTCGGTGAAGATAATGTGACCAAGATAGCTAAATTATCAAAATAATTTACATTTCAAAGGACTGGTCAAAATTTTAGTTTTTAATGCATAAATAAAGGTAATGCCAAAATAAAGGAAATGCTTACAAATTGTAATGGTAACCAAATTAAAGTTTAGTAATGATTTAATGGAACCTTAAAAATATATTGATATTTTAAAAAGAAATTTGAAACTATTAGCAGGAAAACTCATGCTGCAAAATAATTTTCTATTCTACCAGCATTATGTTTCTATGCACATTAGTAAGAATGCGCGACTCTGACTGCTGTTTAATTATCCTATAATTATAACAACTCTTCCTAACTTTGCCCTGCCCAGATATCAACCCTGTCTAACATATTTTTCTTAATTTTTAATTCCATCTCAGGCAGCAGTACTGCTGAAAACTTCGGGAAATTGAGCACACAACTTCTATTACGATTAATTTCGTTGAATATCAAAAGATAAAATGTTCACATTTTCATATGAGAATAACACTTCATTCAATATCGAAATGAAGACTAGAAATAACATTCAGAAATTTTCAAGATCTGCATTTAATAAACGAAAATAGAAGTAATCATATAATTTTAATCGCAATACCGATGTTTTTTATCATATAACTTTAAGTGATAATCTATTTATATTCTTGCACAGAATGGAGAAAATTGGAATCCTGATCCGTGTACTACATGCCAGTGCCGTAACGGTAAGATGACCTGTCACAATGAACGATGCCTTCCGCTTCAATGTCCATCGGATATGATTCGGTCTGTTGACCCGGGAAAATGTTGTCCAAAATGTATTCCACGTAAGTAATCATTCAATAACAAATTTATGAAAAAGAATACGATTTAAATGTGGAATCTTAAATGTGGAAAACAAAGGAGTAAAAACTGAAAATAAGATTAAAATTTTTAAATGACTAAAATAAAATATTTCTTTATACTTTTTTACACACATAAAACTGCACTTGATTAGTAGATAATCGAATGTAACTATGAAAATCTAATTTTAAGTATTTTTAACACTTCTGGAAAAAAGTTACCTTGACAAATATTTTATATTAGAGATCAACGCGAATTAAAGGTTATGACTTGCCAATTTATTAATAATTATAAACATTTCACACTTAAAAACGTTTGTGCATTTTTTTTTCTATCTAAGAATCGGTTTCAACCATCATATATGCCTATATCAGTAACATTTTTATTCAATTCATGACTACAAGTAAAGTCCTTTTTTTCTCTATGTTTTACTAAGGTCCAGCAACCTGCATTGCCTTTGGTGATCCTCATTACCGAACATTTGATGGAGCTATAGTAAGTTTCCAAGGAACTTGCCGTTACACTTTAACAGCTGACTGTTACAGCAGGAAATTTTCTGTACTTGTCGAAAATCATGACAGGGGATTTAAAGGAGTTTCATGGACTTACCGAGTTGTAGTTGTACTCCAGAATACGTCTGTGGATCTGCGTTCTGGTCTAGATGTTTATGTAAGAAGTTCTTTCCTTCTTTTCGAAATTTTCATTGTTTTGAGCTAAGAATTTAAACCGTTAGTTAAATAATGTTAAATGATTAATAATGTTTTGTGCATAATGATCGGTTTCCATTATTCAGCCCAGTGCTTGAAATGAGTGTTATGTACAACTCTTCAAAACTACAAGAAAAATTATTTTTTTCTTTAATTTTCAGAAACCATCTTCGCTATGGTTCTGTATCTGAAATCATTGTGTACCTGAATGTAATGTGAACTGCCTGTCTGCATGTCTCTGAATGTGAACTGCCTGTGAGCATTTTCAGCACAAAAACATTTTAGTTCCTTTATACTTTGGTAGTATGTTTGAAACTTCTTGTTTGTAGATGATTTTGCAGCCTGATCTAATGAAAGAGAGAATGTTTTCGTGCATAATTTGCTCGTGCTTTTTCCTAAGATTTAATTACCACTATTTTTCTTTTTTTTCGTTATGAAGGACAAAGTGCTTGAAAACTATGAGCAGCATATAGGAATTTTTAATGTATACAAATTTACTTCTAAATTTCTCATTACATGTTTAGTGCCAACGTCATTAAAATTGTCCATTCAGAAAAAAATGTAGATTTAAAATTTTAAGAAAGGCTAGCTCAACAGTGGGAAAAATTGGAACGAATATGAAATGCTCGTCTGATGTTGTAAAATTAATTATTGCTAAAATGAATAAAAAAATGTATAAAAATATAGGTAGCCAAGAAAAATCATCAGAAATACTGGTCCTAATTTCTTCAATTAAATTAAATTGTTTACAGGCTGGAGGCAAAAAAAAACCTTGTGAATTAATGCAAGGTTACCACTTGTCATTAAGCCGAAATAAAGGTAAGGATTTAGTGGATTCTTACAAATATATTGATATTTTAAAATGAAATTTTAAAATATTAGCAGGAAAACTCAAGCTGCAAAATAAATTGTAATTCTACCAACACTATGTTTCTATGCACATAAGTAAAAATGCGCGACTCTGACTACTGTTTAACTGTCCTTATAAAAATAACAGCTGTTCCTAACGCTGCAGTACCCAGATATCAAACCTCTCTTTTGCAGGAAATGGAAATTAACAAATTAACATTAGAGAGTCGTTAGGGTTTTTGCTGCTGGAAACGTGAAAAATGTGAATGCTCTCGCTAGGAGTCGAACTTCGGATTCCCTGAATGCGCTTCGAGTGTGCTTCCAGTTACACCATAAAGGCACGCATAAAGGAGGAGAAAATACCTTATATACTCCCCCTTTTAAAGGGAAACTGGAGATGAGGGGACCAGAAAAACAGCTTGTTCCAGCCGATCACTAGCAGTTACGCTTTGGAGGAGATCGAAATTACTCTTGAATTTTTACGGGCATTACGAAAACTTTTTTGTGGTATACTGGCATCTCTAATTCTGCTTATTCTGCTTCTGAGTCAACTGGACTTAAAATTATATTTTTTGAGATCAGCTTGCCAGTTTGAAACATGCGGGGAGACTCGTGACCTCAATTCAAATTCCATAAGAGCTTTAAGTAAGAAATCCGCCTTCATTCGGTTGTTGTTATTTCGATCAGTAGCAGCATTGATTACAAGTCGTTGAAGACTTGATTGCTCTAATAATACCTTTGGAATTTTCGTTGCCTTCAGAATCTGTGCAGCCATTTGAAATGACTGGATATTTTTTAATATATTTTTGTTCGCTCAAACAAAGGAAAGTTTAATTCGATACATTTAACAGCTAACGAAAATATTTCTGTTTAGAATTTTAAAAATATGTATTTTAAGATAGTGCACATTATTTTAAAAATAATGTAATAACTAATCATTTCTGCTTTATTACCTACATTTAACGTCTTATTCTTGATCAGCTGTGCAAAATATATAAATATTAACACAAAACAAAAAGCGTTAGCAGCTTACCATTTAGTAATGCCGATTTATTTAAGTAATATTACACAAAAAATAGCAGGCATAATTAACGCATGACGGCTGAATAAACATTTGAAAGTTGTCTGAATCTTAGATGTAAACTACTGTAAAGTCAAGCACTTTAAATCTTATTTACTACGGTCCTTTTATGTCATTTTACCATTTTAATCTTTTTTAATTAAATGCAGAAAGAAAAAAATAATTATATGCATATTTTGAACTATTTAACGATTATTTATTTAAGATCATGTTATTATTGTTACATGTCTTTCTGCAACTAGGTTAAAGGAAGACGAGTGGAATACCTCCCATATTTTGAAAATCCTGCTCTGTATGTAGAGAAAACTGGATCTTCAATTTTAGTCACGACTGATGTTGGAGTACAGGTTTGCATCTGTGTCTTTCCCATTAAGTATTCGAACTGCTGTCGATAAAATAAGTACATTAAAGCCGAAATAGCTAAAAAGGAAAAATTACTTTTAGTCATCTATCTACTTTACTTGCAACTTGTTTTATCTAAAGAATAAAATACTTAAATGAGTGTAAATTAACAGAATGAAGTAATTTAAAACAAATATATCTTTATTTAATTAAGACACAATAACACGCCGAACAAATACCGATTCAGAAGTCAAACAACAAAAATCAGCGTTAATTCACAAAATTTTCACAGGACTAGTTTCGATGGTTTTACCGAACCATCATCTTCAGCTGCAAAACCGCAAATGAACAAGATAGGAAATAATGTTTAGATAAGATAAGAAAGCCTGGACAAGAATAAGCAAGTGGCGCCATCTGTTGGCGAAACCAGAACTAAAACATAATTTCTCTAAAAGCCGAAGGCAAATTTGGATTGGAATTAGGATCGTTAACCAGAACAGAAAGATTTTTATGAATGTGAAATGCCTCTAGAAAATCCAGTTCTCCAATGGAAGATGTTTTTTGAATAATTTTGGCAGCAGAAAAATTGAAAGTGTGATTTTCGGACCAACAATGTTGAGCAACAGAAGACTTCTGTGTTTCCTTTTTTCTAACATATGCCTCATGTTCTTTGACGCGAAATTTTAAGGCTCTCTTAGTTTGGCCAATGTAAATTAAACCGCACTGGCAAGGAATCCTATAAATACCCCAGGAATTCATATCCGGAATGGGATCCTTGAGTATAGAAGTTGGAATTTATTGATGGGAGAGTAAAACAACCCGAAAGTTAAATTTCTGCAAAAATATGTGCAACTTTATAGCTAATTGATGGAAAGAAGGGAATGACAACAGAATTTTTATAATCTCCTAAAATAAGAGTGTGGCTTTAGTGTGTTGAGATGAGAATTTTTTAACTGCTTGATAATAATGTTGGGTGAAAAGCCCCTGTCAATAGCTATTGCTTTAAATAATTTAGTTCTTCATCAAGGGCTAGTTTGGAGGAGCAAACTTGAAGAGCACGGAAAACATAGGAATAAAATGAAGCTAACTTTTGTTTAGTCGGATGACATGATTTAAAGTGTGGTGGAAGGCAAACCGATGAAGGTTTACGGTAAACTGTAGTACTGAAGTTGGATGTGTTACGTGTGACCAGAATGTCGAGAAACGGAAGAGAATTGCAAGTCTCAAGTTCAAAAGTAAACTGAATAGCAGGATCAATAGAATTCATTGTTGAAAGAACTCTATTTAAATCATCTTTATTACCTTCAAACAGGGTAAAAGTATCGTCTACGTAGCGGAACCATGCCGGAAAGTTTAAAGTTTCAAACAATTTTGATTCATAATAATGCATGTAGATATCAGCCAGGATGGGACTGAGGGGGCTTCCCATGGCTAATCCCTCAGTTTGCTTGTAATATTTATTTGGAAAACAAAATGTGTTTGTTTCAAACAGAGTTGAGTGAGAGAAATTAGTCATCAATTTCGATGCAAGAGAAATGAAATTCGCGAAGTCTGGTTTCTAGACATCTTAATGCACCCTCCACTGGGACATTGGTGAATAATGATTTTACATCAAAAGAAAACCATGAGTAAATTACGAGGAGAAATGTTTTTAACCTTTTTTACAAACTCTATTGAATTTTTTATGGTGTAAATGTTATTGTCTAATAGAGTGGAAAATCTAGAAATTAAATATTTAGCTAATGGATACGAGGCAGTACCTAAATTTGATATAATAGGGCGGAAAGGAATACCACTTTTATGAATTTTGGGAAGAGCATATAATCTGGCACAATTCGCAACAGATGGGATAAGCGAATGTTTTAAGTTGCTTGAAATGATTTGCGAAGATTTGGATAAGTCCGAAGGTGAAGGATCTTTAGGGATCGGATTATATGGTCCTTCGTTTAAGAGTTTAGTGACACCATCGATGTAAGTGTTCTTATCCATGACGACTATCTGGCCACCTTTGTCGGCCTTTGAAATGACAATATCCGGGTTAGAATGAATCTCGCGCATTGTAGCTCTTTCTCTCGCAGTTAGATTTGGTTTCAAAGGTTTATTATTGAATTTCACATTATGAGCGATAAGATGCCTAATCATTTCTTTCTGTGAATCTGAAACTTTACTGAACTTGAAAGCTTTTTCGATAGGAGCCAAAATCTTTGGAATCGAGGGTTTACAGGTTTGTGAGAAGTTAAAATTATATTTTAGAATTCTCTCTTGTTCTTCTGAAAGACTAACATTAGAAATATTAACTATTGGCTTGATGTTTACAATGGGAAGATTTTTTTGAACTACCTGAACTGGAAGACTGTAAAAGAAGTTTTTCGAATTTAACTGCAAGGGTGTTTTTATGACGGTTAACTGCATTCTCCGTTCTAGACCAAGACTTTTGTTCAAGGGCAGTGAATTTTGGATATGTTTTAGCGAGTTCCAGATGAAGCTTATAGAGTTCATGTTCAATTTTGGACAATTGTTGACGTGTATCCCTTATCACGGACCTTTACTTTTATCACTTTGCCTTACTTCGGTCCGTGATAAGGGATACACGTCAACAATTGTCCAAAATTGAACATGAACTCTATAAGCTTCATCTGGAACTCGCTAAAACATATCCAAAATTCACTGCCCTTGAACAAAAGTCTTGGTCTAGAACGGAGAATGCAGTTAACCGTCATAAAAAACACCCTTGCAGTTAAATTCGAAAAACTTCTTTTACAGTTCTTAAGTTCAAGTAGTTCAAAAAATCTTCCCATTGTAAACATTAAGCCAATAGTTAATATTTCTAGTGTTAGTTTGTCAGAACAAGAGAGAACGCTAAGATATAATTTTAACTTCTCATAAAACTTTAAACCCTCGATTCCAAAGATTTCGGCTCCTATCGAAAAAAGCTTTCAAGTTCAGTAAAATTTGAGATTCACAGAAAGAAATGATTAGGCATCTTATCGCTCATTATGTGAAATTAAAAAATAAACATTTGAAACCAAATATAACCGCGCAAGAAAGAGCTACAATGCGCAAAATTCATTCAAACCTGGATATTATCATTTCAAAGGCCGACAAAGGTAGCCAGATTGTAGTCATGGATAAGAACACTTACATCAATAGTGTCACTATTAAACGAAGAACCATATAATCCGATTCCTAAAGATCCTTCACCTTCGGACCTTATCCAAAAATAAAAAACTGCGATCAAATCTTCGCAAATCATTTCAAGCAACTTAAAACATTCGCTTATCCCATCTGTTGCGAATTGTGCCAGATTATATGCTCTTCCAAAATTCATAAAAGTGGTATTCCTTTCCGCCCTATTATATCAAATTTAGGTACTGCCTCGTATCCATTAGCTAAATATTTAGTTTCTAGATTTTCCACTCTATTAGACAATAACATTTACACCATAAAAAATTCAATAGAGTTTTGTAAAAAAGGTTTTTTAAAAACATTTCTCTCGTAATTTACTCATGGTTTCTTTTGATGTAAAATCATTATTCACCAATGTCCCAGTGGAGGGTGCATTAAGATGTCTAGAAACCAGACTTCGCGAATTTCATTTCTCTTGCATCGAAATTGATGAGCTAATTTCTCTCACTCAACTCTGTTTGAAACAAACACATTTTGTTTTCCAAATAAATATTACAAGCAAACTGAGGGATAGCCATGGAAGCCCCCTCAGTCCCATCCTGGCTGATATCTACATGCATTATATGAATCAAAATTGTTTGAAACTTTAAACTTTCCGGCATGGTTCCGCTACGTAGACGATACTTTTACCCTGTTTGAAGGTAATAAAGATGATTTAAATAGAGTTCTTTCAAACAATGAATTCTATTGATCCTGCTATTCAGTTCACTTTTGAACTTGAGACTTGCAATTCTCTTCGTTTCTCGACATTCTGGTCACACGTAAACACATCCAACTTCAGTACTACAGTTTACCGTAAACCTTCATCGGTTGCCTTCCACCACACTTTAAATCATGTCATCCGACTAAACAAAAGTTAGCTTCATTTTATTCCTATGTTTCCGTGCTCTTCAAGTTTGCTCCTCCAAAACTAGCCCTTGATGAAGAACTAAATATTTAAAAGCAATAGCTATTGACAGGGGCTTTTCACCCAACATTATTAATCAAGCAGTTTAAAAAAATTCTCATCTCAACACACTAAAAGCCACACTCTATTTTAGGAGATTATAAAAATTCTGTGTCATTCCCTTCTTTCCATCAATTAGCTATAAAGTTGCACATATTTGCAGAAAATTTAACTTTCGGGTTGTTTACTCTCCCATCAATAAAATTCCAACTTCTATACTCAAGGATCCCATTCCGGATATGAATTCCGGGGTATTTATAGGATTCCTTGCCAGTGCGGTTTAATTTACATTGGCCCAAACTAAGAGAGCCTTAAAAATTTCGCGTCAAAGAACATGAGGCATATGTTAGAAAAAAGGAAACACAGAAGTCTTCTGTTGCTCAACGTTGTTGGTCCGAAAAAATCACACTTTCAATTTTTCTGCTGCCAAAATTATTCAAAAAACATCTTCATTGGAGAAACTGGATTTTTTAGAGGCATTTCACATTCATAAAAATCTTTCTGTTCTGGTTAACGATCCTAATTCCAATCCAAAATTTGCCTTCGGCTTTAGAGAAAATTATGTTTTAGTTCTGGTTTCGCCAAGAGATGGCGCCACTTGCTTATTCTTGTCCAGGCTTTCTTATCTTATCTAAACATTATTTCCTATCTTGTTCATTTGCGGTTTTGCAGCTGAAGATGATGGTTCAGTAAAACCATCGAAACTAGTCCTGTGAAAATTTTGTGAATTAACGCTGATTTTTGTTGTTTGACTTCTGAATCGATATCTTTATTTATTTGTTATCTACCATTACTGTCTTCTAAGTGCCGCTGAATAGTTCTTATTACAAGCATTTTTTTTACCAACACTCATGGTGAAAAATATTTAATACAAATATTTCATTTCGAACACTGCGTTCGTATGTAGTTTGTCTTCATTAAGATTTGGAAAATGTTGGTGGTGCATGCATGTTGGTGGAGATAACGCTAAACTTGCTACAGTCATTCCGGATGCCTGAAGCAACTAGATGGGTATTAATTTAATTTGATAACAAACAGGTATAAGTTACTCTGTTTGGCATAAATCACACTATCGAATTTTCTTTGTTACAGTTTTTTATCTTGCATCGCCATTATTCATCTGTTTTAAAATACATTATTTTATCGTTCGCATTAACGCACTATATTTTATGCCAGGATCCCACAAATCTGAAAATACTCCCTTGCATACTGGTCTTTAGAAGGCAGGCTCAGAACTTTAATCTTTTTTTAAATGCGTTGGAGCTCAGAAATAACAGTTAACTTACATTCTTGACAAAAATTAAACTGGCTTTTCGAGGACTAATCGGCGTTACATAAAACCAAGGTGAAAATCTAATGAGAGTGTTGCGACTTCACGTTTACCTATTATCGGCACGGTTTTTGTCTGCCAAAAATGGTCGACGGGAAAATGCACGAGTACTGTAAAGCGTTTAGGGAAATATTTTGGTAATGCTCAACTGCGCGAATCAAGGTTTTTCCCCTTTTCCTGCCCCGGGAATTTACCGACCTCATAAAGCGGAAGAAGTTTTCCTCTCTCCCCTTCGACACTACAGTAGGTCTTCACACTTTCCGAAGAAGACTTCTCTCTTTTAAAAAGTTGAGGGTTACAGTTTAGTATTGCTTTTCGAAGCCAATAATAGCCAACAAGAAAAGAAAAACAGACAAATATAATTCCATATCACAAGAACAAGTAAAGAATATTCAATAAGCAGGCTAATTTCTTGAACAACAATAATAAATGCAAGAGCTAGCAGAGAAAGTAAAAGGGCATTAGTGAGCACATCTATTAGCATTCGAAACATCTTTTCGTTAACTACAATACTAGAGCAAATAGTGTTATTATAATATAATAAATTGTATTTCTTATAAATGCTATTATTGATTTAACGTCTTTCTTTGATAATAATAGTCATAGTGTTTGAACTAGATTGGAAAATTTAATATAGTTTACTGGCGCGCAAACTTTATTAAGTACTTTAGTATAGTTCCGGAATAAACATGTTAAAGGATACTACTTAGTACTTTCAAGAAAGTTCTATAACAACCATATAAAGCAAATTAGATGGAGAAATGAGTCATAAGTTGTTGATATCCATATTTTCGGAAAAACTTTCATATAATTTGCACCAAGGTATCAATCATAGAAACCGAGTTAATTTCTTTGCTTATTATTTTCCTATTAAGGGGGTTTGCAAAGAGATACCCTAAGGTAAAGGTTAAATTTACCAATGAATAAAACTTTGTAACATTTTTAAAAGAATAAATTTTAAAAAATATTTTTACTTTGTAAATTGAAGCTTTCCTTTCATATTGCTTTTTTCCATATTAAATATATGCAGCGAAAGAAGAAGCTGAGGTACATCTGACATTTGAAACTCTAGTCGAACTACCAATGTTTAGTCACTTTACCGCTTGGTTGCAAGACCTTTTGAAATTAGGCTGATGAGATGCTATGTGTTGAACACTATATTAAAGAAAATAGAAGATGGAGTACTAAAAAAAAGTAAACACAAAAGTGTGCTGAAGATTTACATGTTTGGTTAAATGAGTTAAACTTATCTGTATGTCATTATGGAATATTAGGAATGTAACATAAAAGCATCAGTGAAAAAGGAAATGACAATCTAAATCATTGTATTCTAAATGTATAGCAATAAACGTGTCTACTGTTAATTCCGATATGGCTGAAAAATTTTGCAAAAATTATAAATGATGTATATTAAAAATCGCGTGAACTTATTGTATTATAAAATGCAGCAATTAGAAATATTATTAGAATGATTTGACGATCGTCTTTCTTTACAAATAATTTCAAATAATTAAAACTGCATCTAGACTGGAAAATAAGCTGCATATTGAAGATTAATCTGTACCAAGGTGTTAGAGACATCTTCTGCTAACTAGAGTTATGATGCAGGAGTTAATGAAAATTTTCATTTAAATATAAATTGCATAAATAGAATACAATATACAAATTCTAATTGCATGAAAATTTGAATACAATACAATAATATATGAAAAAAAAAACGGATGAAGAGAAAATTTAAAATCTCAAGATATGAATATAAGAGCAGTCCGAAATTTTTTATTAATTATGAAAATGTTGCAGAGGCTCATAATTATATAGTACTGTTAATTAAATGCGTATTATAAATTAAACTTTCTGACTAAAAATGATTTAAAGAATTATGATTAAAAATGGAAAGCTTAATAAAACGTATATTACAATAATATTAGTGTAAATTTAGAACCGCTTAACAAATCTAATTTTTAGATTTAATAAACAGAATTTTTAAGATTAAATTAGAACTATTTGCCTAAACTGGTAAATTCGAAAGTTTAAACCGTTCTACTAAAAAAATATGATGATATTTATCTATGCAAGAAAACTAATTTAAGGTCCACTACAAATCTTGTATTTGATAAGTTGATTTTATATATATATATTATATGTAAAGTATAATATATATATTTCTAAAAAGAAAAAAGAAAATTATCGCCTTGAAGTATTTTTTTTTTTTTTTTGTTATTATTACGGCGCTGCTATACACTTTGCAGTGGCTGTATTTCCCTAGTGACATTTAACACAGCATCGAAATCATTTTCTCTTCCCAAGGACTTCCTCCATGCAACCCGTAAACTTACTTTAAACCTGTTATCCTTCTTGTTAATGAACTGTTTCAAAATAGCAATATTGCAAGCGTGCCGGCAGACTGTAAATGATCGTAGTCTGAATTGATATCCATTTGGCAGCGCTTTGGCATCCATTAAATAGCAACAAACATGATAATAAGGAAATTCTAATAAAAGAGACACATTTTTGTTTTCCCCTCGTTATTTAGCTACTTTATAAATATAAAATAGTTTATGACCTGAACTTTAAAAATAGAAGCAGTTGGAGTAATAAAACAAAGAGAATTTGTGAAGAGCGAATATGAAAATTCGTGGAATAAGAGAATGATTTCTTATTAGGTTCGTTGGAATGGTGACGGCTACGTTGAAGTGATCGTTTCTGGAGTTTATAGAAACAAAACTTGTGGACTCTGTGGTAACTTTAATAACTATGCTCAAGATGACATGCGTACACCTACCGGCGCCATTGTTTCTTCTGAGGCTTATTTTGGCAACAGTTGGAAAGTAAGATTCCTTTATTTTATAACATGAACTTATGATTTCAAAACTGTATGGATAATTTCGAATTTATTTGGCAATCTTTATAACAATTATAAAAAAAAAAAAAACTAAGCGCATGCTACATATATGTAATAAATTGGAAAAGTTGAATGCGTAGAGATGGATCCATAATCAAAAGCAAACTTGCTGTCGAGACAGATTAACACGTTCATTTTAAATTTAACATTTGCAACCACAAATAACTTTGCGCACTAATCGCATTTACCTTATTTGAGTTCTTTGCGGTAAGAAGAGTAGGAACAAGTAGCATTCTAGCTAGGCCGAGGAACAGAAGCGAAGTGCGATGTGTTCGGGACGAAATCTTAATTCAGAATTGGTTAGTTTCGATATCTCTAAAATTATGATGGGCTGTTTGAGTTTGAATTCGCAAAACCATTTACATCACTAGTGTTGTGTAAAAATCATATGATATGGATTAATCTGGAAGTGAAGAAGTCAGAGGAAGTTTATAATAAGCAATTAACTATATTTAGACAGAAAGGGGGAATATCTCAGTTAAAATGAAGAGTTACCGGGCTATTGCAAATAAGTTAGAATTTTGAGTTAAATAACATGCGCGCGCACACACGCATACATATGTATATGAACTTTAATCAACATTTTTTAACTTCCAATTTTATTTGAGTTTTACATTCACTTTTTATTTGTCAGGTTTCTTGTAATAATTTCATTTTTCTTGTATTTAAACTTTAAATTGCAATTTATTTTAACTTAGTGTTAAAAATTATTCACGGGAACCACAATATTATATTTGCTTTAAAGCAAATAGCATGAAGAATTCCCTTTTTACCTTGTTTTCTAATTTTGCAGCACAATGCGCAAAATTCTTAACCGCACAGGTCTTTTTTAGTTTGTTCTCCTTTCTTAAATTAAATATATATATGTGTGTGTGTGTATTATATATAACTTAAAAGAAAACTTTTCAGTACATTCATGAAACGACATCCTGGAAGAATCAGACTGAGACGTTCCTTTACAAAATACTATTGTTATCATTATGCATGTAAAAGTAATTTTGGATACTAGTGTACATACCAACATAGTACGTAAATAATAGTTGTAGAAACATTAAACATTTCGTGGGCTCAAAGTTAAGAAAGAAATTTAAAATGAACATTATTAGCCCTTATTTTCTTACACGAAAGGGACCTATTGGGGTAGCAAAATTCGTAAGATATAATTTAAAAGGAAATTTCCAGCTTTAAATATTGGGATAGTGGCGCAATGATTAGAAGCAAGGATTGCTTTTTTTTAAATAGAAACATCAAAGTTAACTCTACCAATGTATACAATGTCAAAAATCTAAGAACATAAATATAACGTTTTACATTTCGCTTTCTAGCAAAATATTAATTGCATCTTTTCTAACTCTTTCCATTTGAGCGAGTTCTAATTTCTTCCACGTTTCCTCCTCTTACATCACATGTCAAATTTCCGTCTTGCTATAATTGTGGTATTGTTTTTACACAAATGAAGCTCGATTAAATTACCGGTACACGTCTCATCTCTAAGGAAATATAATGTTTCACGTGTAGCATAATCTCCAACTGTACCTGTTTCGAAAGGGTTGAATGTAAACGTCATTCGATACATGTGACACCAATTTTTGAAACTATATATTTTCTTTATTTTACTGGACGTAAGCAGACTCTAAATAATCCAGTAGGATGAAGTCTGATTTCGCATTGTTTAATTCGCTAATAATATTACGTAATTAAACTCACAGTTTGATGTACTGAAATACTTGCCCAAATACTAAAATCAAGTCCTAAATTGCAGAAGACCCTGAGCAAGCTACTTTGTGCAAAGTGTTTTCTTCGTTTTTGAAGGACGCCATGCTATATTTTGCGTTTTAGGAAATAGAATCTTCAAACTTGATTGGAAAGATAAATCTTATAGGTGTGTATTTTGCTCACATCAGCTATTTTATGAAGTACTGTTATTGTTATACACGTAAAACTAATTTTGGATACCAGTGTGTGCATTAATACAGAATGGCTACAGCCGAAAACCTCGCGGATGGAAACATCGTGGAGAAAACAACGCAGGGCGAACGTCGTGGTACAAAACATCGGGGGGGGGAGAAAGCAAAAAGAAAATATGGCAGTTCTAAAACATAGGGGTACAAAATATCGTGGTCGTAAATAAAGCTGTTCGAAAAAGTTCGCAGTTTAAAAGCATCGTCGTCGAAAATATCATGAAAAAATAAAGTACCTACAAATCATCGAATAACGATAACATCACACACATGCGTTTATCAAATCCCATACTGACATACTGTATAACTGACTTACCTCATAACTAACAAATCGACATCCAAAAAATTGATTGCACGTTATACATGAAAATATTAACGGTGCAAAACAGAACAAAATACAGGGTGCCCACTCGTTACGGGACCATCCTTTTAACTGCCGAACGGCTGCGGCTATAGCCATAAAAGTGGTGTCCATGTATAGTAAAGTGGCTATGCGCTATTAGATGAGAAAGCTTTCAGCACCACCTGCTGGAAAACAGAGGAGTTAGCGTCCCAATCTTGAAAATAGTACGTGAATTACAAAGTTGTAGAGCATTGTCGATTTAGTATGAAAAGACACCTCGTGGGCATGAATGTTAAGAACAGAACGTTTTAAACGTGCATTTGTTTGTTCGCGATTTCCGAAATTGTGACGGCATGAAACGATCTTAGAAAGGAAAAAAAAAAACAGTTATCACAAGCTACCTTTATTTTTGATGTTTTAAACTTCTCTCTATCAGCTGAAATGTACATCTGGACTCTTGTTAGAATTTCATGCTGAACGTTTAAGCATAATGAGTGACACGTTTGAACAAGCATCTGTAATATGTTGTTGAAGGTCCTGCGATATTTGTTGAGAGGTCGCATACACCTGCTGTTTGAAGTATCCGCACAGGAAAAAGTCCATTGGAATCAGGTCAGGTGAATTGTGGAAGCCACTCTTCGGACCCACCGTACCCGATTATTCATTCTCCGAATTCCTCCATCAGGTACTATGTCTTGCAGAAGTTCTAAATATTGTACGGCCATTAACGCACCCTAGTAAAATATTGAGCCTATTATCCTGCTATTATAAATTCCACACCAAACATTAATCGACAACCGTATTTGATGTCAAATGTCGGCAGAACATGGAGGATTTTCCAGGGCGCAGTAATGGGTGTTCTTCCTAATGTACATATCATTCCGCGAAAAGCGTGCCTCATCCGTCCAACCTATACCTGCCAAAAATGTTGGCTATCTGATTCATAACGAAGTTGTACCATGCGACTTCTCTCGACATCTCCGTCCAGTAATGCCTGATTCGGTGTTAGTCGGTATGGATGAGTACCTAATTCATTTAGGATTTTCCAAAAGGGATTTTTTGAGAGGCCACAGTTTTCACTTATCTCTCTTGGGCTGCTATTTGGATATGTGAGGCCGTATGAGACATCTTCCGGTTGCATTTGCCGCTCTATCTTATCTTAGCTGGTCTGCCGAATCGAAGTCAGCTAGTCACCCAGCCTGTCTCCGTTAAACGTTTCACAACCTGTACGATGATTCTGTATGAAGGATTCGGGATTACAGGAAAACGTTGTCACTGCAACCGCGCTGCCGATCGTAGCTTGCGCTCGCATTCACCGTAAGTCGAACCATCTCACAACAATCATTTTTTGAAAATCTCTCTATGACCATGAGCTTCAACATATAACCACGAGGAGATATTTCTTTTAAAGCTGTCTCAGGTGAACAAGTGTGACGTTTCATACACTATTTGTATAATGCACAAATTCGCACACCAAGCTCAATTTGCGTTGAATTAATGCGTTTTGTGGCACGATCTGTATGTTGTCTACTCTGTTTGTAAAGACAATCAGTACAAGGATGCACCCCGCGGGGTTTAAACCTCAGTCCTCTCAACTGTGAATTATAAGCGACATCACTGTGCCTCAAAACGGGCATGTTTTTCATCCGAAAGATAATCTTTTCTCCTTTCGTTGAAGTTTCGTGACGTCACAGTTTCGAAAATCACGAAGCAACAAATATGCATTTTCAGCGTTCTGTTTTTAGTTCTGTTTCATATCCATAAGGTGTCTTTTCGTACTAAATCGATAATGCTCTACAACTTTGTATTTCACTTTTTCTTCCTATTTCGTATCGTTTTCGAGATAGAGAGGTTAACTCCGTCGTTTTTCACCAGGTGGCGCTGTAAGCTATCTCATCAAGTAGCGCATAGCCACTTTACTATACTTAGACACCAATTTTATTAATATAGCTGCAGCCGTTCCGGCAGTTAAACGGGTGGTACTAGACTTTAGTGTGCACCCTGTATAATTTTCACCAAAAAAATTAACAAATGTGAAAGAAAATAATTTGATAATTAACTAAGAAATTTTTATAGAGATAACTTCATGCAGTTATTTATCTTCCTTTTAAGCATTTTTAAACTGTATTTTTCGTAATAAATTATCAGTAAAACTTTATGAAAAAATTTTACTTTATTAATGGCCTTTGTTAATTAACTGTGTTATTTAAAATTTTATTAGGTTCAGTTTTTAAATGCTTAAGTTTCCTTTTTATTTTTTCAGTAAAATTTATTAGTTCATTCAAAAATTTGAAATATAAAAGTAAAAGAATCCCTCTTTCCTTCTTGCATTCGCAAATCATTATGTGAAAATGCATTTACAACTTTTAAAACCTGAAAACGCATGTGTGCGATGTTATCGTCATGCGATGATTTATAGGTACTTTATCTTTTACCACGATATTTTCGAAGACGATGTTTTTAAACGGCGAAGTTTTTGAACCGCTTTATTTCGACCGCGATATTTTGTACCGCGATGTTCAGATCTGCGATGTTTTCTTTTTTCTTTCTTTTCTCCCACGATGTTTCGTACCACGACGTTTTCGCCCTGCATTGTTTTCTCCGCGACCTTTTCGTCTGCAATATTTTTGGCGGACACCATAGAGAATACAAATAATCGTTACAGAGACTATTAAACTTTTCGGAGCAGGAAACAAGAGAAATCAGTTGCTCTATTGTGGCAATTCGACCCATGAATCTTCCAGCTGCTAGCTGAACACGCTAACGAGCTGCTTTGAGATAATGAGTGCGGTGTAATGAGATAATTCCTTACGCTATCCCCCACTAAAAAGATAACTGTGGCGAAATCTGAGATTCAGTAGACTAAATCTAGGTAGAAACTAAATCTAGGTAGTTATCGTTCAGCATATTTTAGTCTGGATGCCACTTTCGAGACCATTAAATTTTCGAAGGAGTAAACGGGAAAAAATCATATGTTCCCTCACCAAGTTTCGAACCAAGGATCTTCCATTTGCTAGCTGGACAAGCTAAGTACTTATACCACAAAAGTTCCCACGAGAAAATGCTATAATTCCTTATATAATGGTTGTTTAGAATTTCATGAAATCTTATGCTATTTTTCTACTGATATGTAGAACAATAAACTACTGATATGTGAGAACTTTAAGTAAGAACAAAATTATAGTAATGTAATGAGCTTTCTTAATTCGTAATTATATGCTTATGTATTGATTATATGCGTATATGTTTCATATTAAAATGTATATTCATTTATTTATGTGTATATGTGCAGTATAATGGTGTTCAACCAGAAGGATGTACTGAGGCTGTAGATATCGATCCTTGTTCTGTAGGAGGATATAGAAAGCGTAAACTTGCAAATTCCAAATGCTCCGTTCTCAAGGTAAGCTTTGCGATTTCAAATACACTTTGAAAATGTATGGTAGTGTTTACGTTAATTTTGTTTAAATATCTGCAGTTGAACGTAATTATTTTAATAGTAGCTAGATAATTCATTAACAAGTCAGGTCCATAAATCGCAGCAAAAATACGCTAATAATCGGAACGCCAAGAATGCTAGGAAAGTTCTAATGCTGATGGATTTGCTTCTTTTTCAAATGGTCCTGTGAACTATAAAAGAAGATATAGGGGTTAACTTGCAGGCAAGATCAAGCTGCATTGATTAGCCTGAGATTTAATTCTCTATGTACTAAATGTTGCCATAAAATTCTTTAAATTGCTGAATTAGATATTGACTGGACCCATTACAAAAGTCTTCGCAAGACAAATCAATAAAAATATAGTCTCTGAGTCCTAAAACTGTTATCATGCATGTAAAAAATTTTATTTTTATTATAATTTTATTCATAATTTTTTGTATTGTTCTTGTAGCAAAGTTTATTTGCTCCTTGTCATCCCTTCATTGCACCAGAGCCGTATTTTGCTACATGTGTATACGACGTATGTGCTTGCTCAGAGAATGATGATTGCCTTTGCGATGTATTATCTGCTTATTCACAGGAATGTTCTAAAGCTAACTTCATTTTAAATTGGAGAAGTGAGGGATTATGTGGTAAGTAGGTTTTTACAAAATTGTATTTTATCTGTAAATTTTCATGCCTGAATTATGCTTCTTATTTAAGATTAAGTTCGTTTTAATGGAAATAAATATTAAATATTTATATTGCTAGGTAGCTGCTTCATCATGCTAATCTTACTACTAACAAATAAAATATTGTACGGAAAATAGAATATTATGAATTTTTAGTCTCAGTCTTTGATCACAGCCGTGCTGACTGCATGACTCTAGCTCTATGGCTAGGGCTGTTGGTTATTTCTTGCTCCAAGTCTTCTATTAAGGTTGTTGCGAGATCATTTTGATTTTGTAAATATTTAAAAAATTCAAGATTGATATATGCAGTTAACAATGATCTGATACAATGCCATCAGAATGATAGAGTATGAAAAGACCAATTTAATTCGTCATCTTTGTGACACTACCATTAAGTTTTATTTAAACACTGCATGATCTTCTCTTTAATACATGTCATATATGTTCGTTCAGACTAGATGGTTATGAGGATCAAAAGCATCCGAAATTGAGTTTAAAAGCTATAGTTAAGTAAATTATATTTCATGTCTATTGGCATGAAATTCCGCCGAGCTGCCTGGGAGAATTAGTGCTATTATATTAATGTGACTTTCGGAAGCCGCAGCATTTCCCGTTTGCCATTCAATAAGTGACTTTAGCGTGATTAGCTGATCGGAAGAGCTATTTTTTTTATTTTTATTTATTTATTTATTTATTATTTTGAGAGAGCGAGCTTGATTTGCTTTTAGAAACTAAATCCAGGCTGCCTAACTGTTATTTTTGAAAAGAAATCAACACTTTTTTAGTTTTACATTCTAGCTTTAGTTGTAATCCACCGGAAATGAAAGTTTTAAAATGAAAAATATTTGCAGTGTAATGAATTTTTTGTATGATTATCGGATAATCATTATAAAGTAATACAACCTTGTAAGAATAGTAATAACGTATTTTTAGACTTTGAAAACTTACAAATTACTTGCTTGAATATTCTTTCGTCGTACCAAATGTAACAGAAATCTAAATTAAAGACACTAGTAAAAGCCAAACCAATATCATTGAATGCATTTAGGGGGAACAAATCAGCTTCTAATTATTCTGATTTACTTATTTACAGGCCCTTCAGTGTAAAATAAAAATGACGTCAGAATTGGCAACTTTTTAAGTTAAATATATCTATCTCGGTCAACTTTCGTCAGACTTTTTGTATCTTATATTTTATAAGAAGCATATATTCTTCTAAGTATAGAGACTGGAGGGAACGTAGAAAACGTTATATTTCGTAGGTTTTATAAAACATAAAATTGATTTCTTTAAGTTTAAAACTGCCAGTATTTGGGTCATTTAAAATATTTATAAAGGTCGGATACTCTTGTGGACGCGGTGTATACTAATTATATTGTATACAAACATTCTGTATCTTTACTTGCCGCTACGCTGTCAGCCTTCGTTTGGCTTTTAAATGTACCGGAAAAATGCCTAAAAGGAGCATTAAATTTAAAAACTTCAGAGAATTTTACTCTGCAGAACGACTTTATCAAAAAAATCAATAAAAATGTATTACATATAAAAAAATTACAATGAAGTAAACAATATCCCTTAATACAAATATTAATTATTCTAATAAATAACTTAACCAACTTCCCGTTGAGTTCTCTCGACAAACGACCAGTACCCAAGAGAAACATTAAATTTAAAAACTGCACAGAATTATCGCCCTCATTTTTCCGAGTGGCAGAAGTGATATATCAGCAACAAATGACTGCCTGCCATTGTTGCTGGTATAATGAGAGAGAATTTTCGATTTGATGCAATTTCATCAAAAAACATAAAATCAAAAAATCTCATTCGAATTTTGAAAACAAATCGCTTTGAGGTGCACTGGCACTTGTCTAGATGCACCTATGTACCAAATTTTGTAGACCTGGGTCTATTAGCTAACGCGCAGCACGAACGAAAGACACACACACACACACAGACTTTTCCTTTTATTGTATGTATAGAAATAAGGTAATAACTTCTTTTTTCTTTTAACTTTAGGTATCTATTGTTCAGAAGATGAAGGTTTAGTTTTTGATGAATGTGGTCCGGCTTGTCCAAGAACGTGCGAAAATAAAAATCTTCCTTTGGACGTTCTAGCATCTCAGTGCTTTAAGCCATGTGTACCAGGATGTCAGTGTTCAGCTGATAAAGTACTCCATAATGGAAGATGCATTCGACCAGAATTTTGTCCATGAAGGCAATTACTTAAATTCCTTTAGTTTAATAAATGCAAACTGTATTTTTAAAAAATCTCCTACCTATGCAAAATTGTAACTCATTGTATTAAAACCTGCATGGACAGAAACTTGGAGTCAATGATTAGGTTCTTAAAGGAAATATATAAAGTATGTATTTTGCTAATATTTAGCTTCATGTTTCGTACAGAACTGTTACATTTGGTGGTAAAGGAAATAAATTATCATTTACAAAACATGCTTGATGACGATCTGATTTATAATTTTTAATCAAATTTACTTTCCTTTCAAATAAATTACCTTCGTTTGTATCTTCTATCCAATATTAACGTTCATCTGCCCTTGGCTAATTATTACTTCTCACGTAAATGGACAAATCAGTCAAAGTCTCAATGAACATTCAATTTAACAAACTTTAGGACAAGTTTATTATAACCTGAATTTGGGTTTTTAAGCTAAACGGAACTGACAATTTCTGTAGTTTTCAGTCAAACACTGCGTACTGATTCGTATAATTTTGTAAGGTGAATGATTTGAGAAGTTAGTTACACTCTATTATGGCGGCAAAGTAATTTTTATCGCATGGAATGCTACAATGTGATATAAATCAAATTATGTTTCATCATAATTACCCAGTTTCCATACACAATTGTCTGAATTTTCAACTAATCATTCGACCTCCTGATGATGCAAATTTGCTTTTTGGTCATGGATCCAACGTAGAACAGGTAAGAGTTTTGGCTTCCCTGCTCCGAGAACTCAATCTCACTGCAGGTCCACTCATCCTTTGGGCACATCGTGGAAGTTCAACTTCCACTATTACCCTCCAGGAGAGCAGCGCACCACCTGGATACGACACCAGGCAGCACCGGTCGTCTAATGCTCCTACCAGTCGCTTGGGCGAGCCCGTCGCAGCGGGACATTACCCAGCGACCCCGGGGGAGACCCCCCCGGGTTACTAGAACCACGCCCGCGTAGGACGTGCCAGACTCCGAGGCCGGCCAATAAGTGACCTTTCCCAGAGCCTTCAGAACCACCAAGTTCATAAATTTTATACCCCCGTGGCCGAGACTGCCTAGGTACAGATCCTAGCCAGTAGCTTCGCAGAGTTCTCTACGTCGACCCCCGGGGGGAACGTAGAACAGGTATTTGCGCCTATTTGTTCATCATAGGCAAATTATTGTTGATCTAAATATTAACTCCTGTTTACTTTCCGAAAATGTCCTATCGCGGCCGCTGTGAATTATTTCATCAACCTGCAACGCAGTATCTTTTATAATAAACATTCATGGTCTTCCTTGCTGGTCAACATCAATCATCAATTGGGAGCCCTCCAGCGGCCGAGCGATAAATCGCCGAACTTGAATATCATTCCAAGCAACCGGACTGGCTACATGGGCGTGGTTTTTCTTATGTGCAACATAGATACGAGCCAGTTTCTTCTAGAAAGTCCTCCACAAAGACATCCCTTTCGTTAGGTAGATAACCCTAGCGTGCTTTACCTAATCAAATAAATAAAAAAATAAACCAAAATCATAAAACGGCTGGCGCCATCTGATTTTGACTGGATGTTAAATCGTTTCCTACCCCACGGATATCCATAATTTCATGATCGTTTCTGCAAAGCTGAGACTTTTGCTTTACAGTAAATGTCTAGAAAATGCAAAGTTTTGCTCTCATCCTATGATAAACTTCAAAGCTATTAGAATGAAACTGTAAGTTAATAAGAAGGAGAGAACGTCTATATTCTACGATGTACTACTCTTCTTGTGCAGTTCTTTCAGATGATACATACTGCTGAGACTTACTTTTTGAATCCTCTGTGACGATAAGAACTGAAGATTAACTGCGACAAGAATATGCCTCCTTGTATCTCATGCTAATTAACTTTATTAAAATAAGTTAAATAACTTACTAAACTTTAAAGACATCTTCCGCACATTCCGTTGTTCCTTCTGAATAACTAATTTGAACCCTCAAAAGCTCATAAGAATTGGGTAGCAACAAAGAAACTGCTTGCTAACTGAGGCCAAGCTCAATTAGGAAACTTATATTAATTAAGTTCAATTCGATTATCATACCCGCGCTTCTTCTTAACTGTTTTTCCTTTTCTTTTTCTTCTTCTTTTTAGTCCAAAGGCGCTTTGTCCATGAAGGACTATTGTTTTCGTTTCGCGATTTTGCGTTGAATCACTATAAATGTCAGTTTCACTTTTCAACTGTTGCCACCAAACATTAGAGTCCTGCATTATATTTGAAGAAATTAAATAATGAAAAATCTGCACAAATGTATGTATATTTTTCGCATTGTGATAAAACAACGGTACATAGAGCCATCGAATTTTGAATGACGTAATCCTCCTACGAATAAGGGCATGTGGAAGACCAAATTTGAAATCTGGAATTTGTTTTATTATCGATTTCATACTTTGTAAAACTTTAACGAGTTTTTGATTAACAAACTCAAGGATTTCAAAGCGAGCAATGGCAACACTCTAGGGGGGGGAACCTTTTTATCTCCAGCGCGCGGAACTGTGTATCGGAAATTCTAAAGATAGGGGAGGGTCCTTTTATTTACACTGGTGTGCAAAACTTAAGCATCAGATGATCTTTTTGGCATAACTCCACGAGAAATCATCTGAGAGACATGAAATTCAGAATTAAGAGACATTTTGTATTTAAACGATGACGAAAGTATAATTGCTCTAAAAATGAATACAATGCATACAGTACGGAATCAAACAAAAACAGGCTTTATTGAACTCATAGTATCGTTACACATGATTGTCTGTACAAGAGCAAGAACAACAAGCAGGTGTTCCTTAGTATGGGATATGCCCTCCCCTTACTGCAATGGTTGCTTCGAACGGTCTCTCCATATTCAGCACCAGATTTTCCAACAGATCTTGAGGTAAGAGTGCCGATTCCTCAATCAGCATCTGTTTCAGTTGTTGGGTGTTCCCCGGAGGATGTAATCGTGTCACAAGCGTCTTCCCAAACCATTCCACACATGTTCTATGGGGTTTAAATCAAGGGAGCACGCTGGCCAATCCATTCGAGTGATATCTTCACTTCAGTAGTTTCTGAACAGCAAGAGTCCGGTGTGGCCGTGCATTGTCATCCATAAAAAACGAAATCTGCTCCAATGGCACCTCGGAACAGACGCGCATGGGGAAGGATCACCTCCTGACGATAGCGATCTCCGGTTACAGAACTTCTGTCGAAAACGTGGAGCTCCGTCCGCCCGTTCAGCATAATGCCTCTCCAGACGAGATATTCAAAACACCATAACGGTCTCTTTCCGTAATGTTACTGAGATTAAACCGTGTCCCGACCTCTCTCCAAATCAGTTGTGTTGAGAATCGCTTGTGTCACTAAAACGATTCTCGTCCGTAAGGAGGATACGACTCCATTGATGAGATGCGCAGTTTTTGCGCTCCTTGCACCACTGTAAACGGTGATGCCGATGGCCAACTTTCAAAGGGATGCAGCGTTCAGAACGACGGGCGCATAGGCCACCTTTGTGAAGGTGTTTGGACACAGTAAACCACGACAATTGTCGCCCGTTGCTGTTCACAGTTGTTGAACTGTGGCGCTTGCTTACTGGTTTCGGACTCTTTTCGTCTGCAGGACTGTATATCGGTTGTTTGCTGCAGTTGTTTTCCGGGGACGGCCACCACCAACCTTTCTAACAGCTGTACCTATGGTATGGAAGGCTTTTTAAACGCGCTAAACGCCACTTTGTTGATTCCGAACTCTTCAGCTATACTGGTCACACTTCACCCCTACTCCAGATTTTCGATCATTTTTCCACGTGTAAAGTCATCCAGATCAATTCTTCTAGCCATATTTCACGAAAGAAATCCCTGTACTTGCAGCAAATGTCTTTAATTGCATCTCCATCCTTCCTTTCATGGTAATCTCGAGTTGAGCTCGCTGACCGTACGCGTTTTGCGTACGCTCACGTAGCCTGTGACTTTTTCTTCTTGACATTTGCATACGCATGACCTTTCTACTGAGTTGTATGTTCATTGTACTGAACGCAAGAAACCCTTTTCTACAATTCCATGGCTATCTGATTAAAATTTACATTGTTGCTTAAGTTTTGCACACCAGTGTATTTATATAGATCTGATTATCGTAACCGGTTAGGGGGGATTAGAAATGAAACTGAAACTGAAAAGCTTCTTGGTTAGCAAAATAGATAGGTCTGACAAACTATTATTAAAAATAACAATGAAATACAGTACCGAATGTTTAAGCCACAACTGCTTTGTAAGATTAAAACCTAAATACGGAAGCAATTTACAGAAGCAAAAAGGAGCCCATTTTTTATTAAAATATCCTATGTTGTTAAAATGAAAGCTTTTAGTTTATTTCTGCCTTGCCGAGTGAATTTCAGTCATTTTGCATATTTGCTTCGAGAACGTGCAATGAAATGAAAAGGATGAATAAAAGAATAGTAATTTCAAATAATTAAATAATTCAAATAAAATGAAACCCATTAAGCTGAAGACAAAAGCATATCTATAAAAAAATTCTTTGTTTCGATGCCTAAAAAAATCGACCGATTTTATTTAGGAAATTCTTCCTTTTAAATTCCGATGTAACAATGATTTGTCTTTTAGTTATTGTGATAAATAGTATTTTTAATCGGTGGCGCAGTTTTTCCTTTCCTGTCACGATTAACACAAAATAACTGAGATCTTACGACATTCGTTGTTTTTAAGGTATTTTCTCCTATTTTTCTGCATGCTTCGTGGTGTAAGTGGAAGCAAACTCGGCGCGTATTCGAGAGGTCCAGGTTCGAGTCTCTGGGAGAGCACTGTTCATTTTTCACGTCATCTACTTCAAAAAACCTAATGACTGTACTAGTGACACCCGAACTAAAAGGTGGTAGAAGATAATTTGTCAGGATACAACACCAGGATTTGGCGATTGGATCTCTTAATCCCCAGTTGCCCTTTAAAAAGGAGGAGTATTGCTTCTTTCCGCGTGCCTTCACGGTGTAATTGGAAGCATGCTCGGAACGTATTTGAGAGGTCCAGTTTCCCGGCTTTATTATATCATCGATTCACTGCTCATTTCCCCCGTCTCCTTCAAAATAGCTTAGTGACTTTACAATTTGAAAACAAGAGACGTTTTAATTACCAGTAGTAGGTTGAAGATGATAAATGTATTTGTGCAGTGGTATCGATAAAAATGAGTGGAGAATAAACTACTAAATAAACGCATTCTCTACCGAACAAATAAACTGTAATTTTCTTTGCTCTGAATTAAAGATACAGAGGTTCGCATCCCTTCCTTCTAAACTGTTTATGTAATACTAGGTTTTTTTTTTTTTACAAATGAATTCTTCATCAGATATCAATATTTTAAGAAACTGACTTTAATTTGCACAAATATGTTTAATTTATTTTTTGGATGCCCCCAATTTTACTTGTGTCATTCATTTTCAATAGATTATGCTGTCATTCTCATCAAGAAAAATTTCTTTCCTGCGATTTCATTGCTAGCGGTGAGATAATTTATCAACGCAGCCTTTGATTGAAGCATTTAGAAGCGAAGTTTCTCGCCTCAGCTCGAATTTTCTTTTACCAGAGTTGATAACTATTATTTTGGTCACTAATATTGATATCTGTTTATTAAATGCTTGTTGCTTTTATTTTTTTAAAACTTTGAATCTGAAACTTTAAAACAGATTTCGCCTGAAGAATCTCACAATTTCTGTTAAACTCTTTTCCGTAAGAGGATGATATAATAAAGCATAAGTAAGTTTAAGCCATTGTAATAATATTTGCCACGAATCGCAGCTCCACTGCGATTGACTGAAAAGAATTCAGTCTTACAACACTGTAGGCATGCAGTGCATATCCATGTAAATAATATGCCAAAATAAAAGAACATTTTGTCTACAATTGGATTTGGACTTGCTAGTAATTACAGGAAAACAAGGTTCTGTTCTTTACAACATAAATTAATCTCTTTATATTGTAAAGAGATTAGTTTTCTTTAAAGAGGTTAAACCATGTACATTTATGAAATAAAAATTTGTTAGAAAATTGTAAGGTTTCGAAGAAACAGTAGTATAGACTTTTCGTTATGTTAGAAATATGATGCATTATATAAAAACAGGGTAAAACAAACCTTACTAAAATCAATTTTTTTTAATTTAATAACTTTGCTTTGAGTAAAAAACTAATTTAAATGCAACTTATAAAATCTTTCAGTACTAATGAAAGCTTAAGATCTCCTGAGAATAAAAATTAGGCTGAATTATATTTTTGTTTTCTGCAGGATATAAAACTAATTCCACGTTTAGAACACAAAAGGTTTCTCTTTCAAACATCTAGATTAAATTGAGCCTTAGTTTTTTTAATTTTAATAAATTTAAATAATTATACCCATCTTTTAATCGTACTTACTGATAAAGTGTTCAACTAAATAGAATTTATTCAAAAAGCAAAACAAAAGAAAATTCTCAGTGAGTATAAAAAAGAACATCTGTGCACACAGAGAATATCTTCGGAGGGTTTTATTTCCGAGTGGAACAATAATAGTTAATGTAATTTAAAATCCGAAAACATCAAATATTATTTTATGATTTTTATATCCTCTGCAAGTTTCCCCCTTCCTGCTTACCTCTAGGGATAGACTTTTCTATTTTACATAAATATATCCATGTCATGTTATTAAATATTTAAGTTTTATCCCATTTTTTCATGCTATTTCTTATTAATTAACTGACTAGTCGTATTATTCAGAGGTACGGTGCAAACAACTGTCAGCACTGTTGAATATGCAAAAAACTTCTTTACACTCATCTCTTGAGCATCATCGCAAGTAATCCACTTGAAAATGTGCTCCTGGGGAAAAATGTAATTAATCCTTTTGAAAACTTCAGATGAAGGAAAATACTGCTAAAGAATTAATTCGTGTTTTAGAGGATTATGTATTACATAAAAAGAACAGATAAATAAATGCAGGAATTAAAATTAAACTTTGAGAAGTTTTCAAATTGCATATTACAAGCCCTCTTCCCCCCTTTTTTCTCCTTTTTTGCTCTTATAAAAAACTGGTATCAATTGCTTTTATTCGAAATACAAAGACGCTTCTGCATATCCAAAGCTCTGGATTAATGCAAGTCCCTAGAGGAATATAGAAGAGATCAAACTAAAAGTATCCAAACTTCAACAATAGCTACCTTAATGACATATGTAGGGATCTGCGTTATTTCTTGAGTGCTATTTTTTTAAGGTGCCATCCCGCAGGGACGGTGAAACAAACGTCATTAACGTCCGCATTTGCCTACTCTGTTTTGCGTGGAAATGGTGTTTGAACATCCTGTTCTTGTTTTAATGCATCTACTTTTCGATTGGCTTCTAAGTAGGCATATATATATATATATATATACACACACATACATGCACAGATATATATAGAGAGAGCGAGATAAAGCGCCTTTAGTTCTCTTGCGACAGAACACAACTGTTGGACATAGAAGGGGTTTTTCAACTTTCTTATCCATCGAATTAGGATGACCTCTAACAGAGTTTGTCCATTGGCTTTGGCAGCAATTTTAACTTTTGCTTATTTTGAAACTGTCTCTGCTGGAGGTAAGATGTTTTTGCTATTACTGAATACGGCAATTCAATTAATTTCAGCTTAGGCCTCGATATTTAGTTATCATTCTTAATTAGTAATAAAGTGTAAATATTATTTCCTCCTTTTTTCGTCTACCTTTACTTAAAGATCAAACAATTAAGAATATGTCTACATTTTAAAAAGAACGTAAATTTTCTAATGGCATGACGTTTGCTCGAAGGCAACCAAAAATGTATATTAAAAGCAACATTAAAATTGAAAATTTTGTTTGTGGCATCTTCAAATTTTTGATAGCAATAGTAATTAAGTTTTGCCTGATACGATTAACTTCATTTAGATGTTTTGTGGCAAAAAAATATCAAGAACACAGTTATAATAATTCGTGCTTTAGGTCTTTAAATACAGTGTGCTTAAAAGAGTTATTAAAGATTAGGTTTCTGGAATACAAATGTTCACTTTAAATGTATGAAGTTTAACGCCTTCTTGTTAGTTAATAATTAGTAAGTAATGAGCCATCTTTTGAACTATTTTTAGTTCTGTTCCAATCCTTGGCTGCCACTCAGCATCACAATCGCTTGCTCAGCCTATAAAGTTTAGTTATCATAAATTGTAACCAAAGTTTAGATAGACTAGTAGCGAATCCTTGCTAAGTCTAAAATAACAACAGAGCCTTGAGAAGGGTGTAAAAGACCCTTTGTTAAAACTGAAGTAGAACAGAATGCACAACTGGTTCTTACAACTCAGCCAGCACTTATGGCGAGATAACTTAAAATAACGGAAAGTTCAAATGTAAAATTTAAATTTAAATAATCTGGTAGTTAAAGGCCGTACAGATAAATTAAACGCGAAGCTAACTCACAAGTGAACCGGTGTAAATATTCAAATTTCAGCAATTATAATGCAAGTCCGAAGAGTACAAATCTTATCTGAGCTAGCAGCCTAATCTTACACTCTCAAAACCTCATCTTAAATACGCGCGAACTAATTTTCTTTCTGGCGTGGAAACGGAAGGAAGATTTGACAGCAAAGCTCTAAATCATAACTGGTTAATTAAAATAATAAAAACCCTACAAGTCTAGATTTTGTAGAAAAAATATTATTTCTGAATACTTTTGCGGAAAATAAGCATTATATTTTCAACTGTTTATATTCATTTAAATTACTTAGAGTAAACAATATTGATCGATAACCATAAAAAAAGATTGAACCATTGTTTCTATTATAAATATACTATTATTATTATTATTATAGCACTAGAGTCCATGAATGAAAGTGTGAAAGAGCATGATAAATATTGGTTATCCTGCAGATTAAATTCATGAGTACTTATAAAATTATGGAAATATTATAAAATAGTTTCTCCCTCCTTTCCGCATGCCTTCGTGGTGTAGCGGTAGCAAACTCGGCGTGTATTCGAGAGGTCCAGATTCGAGTCCTGGAGAGGGCATTGCTCATTTCTTCAGTTTCCTGATATTGAAAATTTCTAATTTACTCTACAGTGGCGCCGAACTAAAAGGTGGTGAATGATGATTCTTCACCATTAGGATTTGACGATTAGATCCCCTAATCCCCAGTCTCCCTTTAAAAGAGGGGGGAGTATAGGAGGTATTTTCTCCCTCCTTTCCGCATGCCTTCGTGGTGTAACGATAGCGCACTTGGCACGTATTCGAGAGGTTCGAGTCCCAGCGAGGGCATTGTACATTTTTCTGGTCTCCTGCTTCATAATAACCTAATGACGCTGCAATATAGAAACTCGTTTTATTTCGTAAATAACCATAAGCTTTCAGCTATAGAATATTTTTTCTGAAATATTGTCATAATCAGTAGTTCGCCAAAAGCTGATATTTGGATAAAAAGGCAACACTTTACTTGGAATATAATGTAATACGTTTTTAATTGCATATTTCCGGTTTTTATTTGGAGGGGGGTAGCTTAGTAACTTTGAGACTTTTTTTAAGGGATTTAATCTGACAATAAGGGCATGTTTTTTTAGTCATTTTTAAACAGACACATATTTAGCAGTTCATTATTTTTACATATATTTAAGATCAATTGGTTTCATTTTTAAGACACACATTTGCTTCTAGAAAATGAAACTATTAAAATAATAGTCTAATTTAAAAAATTTGCAGGCAATTGTATAACTGACTCATTTATTCCATCATTTTTCCTTCACAGTTTCCTTAAAAAACTAGTTGTGTTACATTGCTTATAAAATTCTATATATGCCTATTTTGTAAAACTTCTTGCTAAAAAGTAGAATACTTTAGTCACAGTGCGCGTATAAACTAAATTATCTCAATATGTCTGAAATACACCGAGCTGCATGTTTCAGATGGAAAATTGTCACAGAGTGGTAATTTTCCTGACGAAAAAAAAATAGTTTGACTGACGAAATCGATTGAATTAAATGAAGTAATGTTTCCAAAAGATGGTATTTAATACTTAATTTTTTTATCTTTAAGTACTTAAAGCTATATTTATCTTAATTTCAACTTTTATTTACAGATTACTTTTTCCCTGAAATTTAAATTTTATTTTGCAAATCAACAAGAAAATAAACACATTTTTTCATTAATTGATATGACAACATCTTATAATCAGGCGCATGTGATGGTATTTTATCAAGTCAAGCAGATGATATTAATAAAACAAATGAGGTTGTTAATTTTCCTTATAACGATGAAAGCATTAGGATTTTTATTAAGAGATCTATAACTACTGATCAGCAGCAATTAAACTAGGAATTTATCTCATCTCATACGCAAAATTGTATTTTAAATCAAATAAAAATTTCGAATTTGCAGATAATTCAGAACAAATTTTAAAAGGTTGAAATGAATTTTAGCTAGTTATAATACCTTTATCTTAATTTATTTGAAGATAAAATTAAACTATCCCTCACTGTGTTTAGCATCATATTTCCCTCGTATTGAACACCACAAAACTCACATATTTATCCAGTTACAAAAATATGAATATGATAAAATAAGAGAATGTTTAATGAGTGTTTCTATTTAACAGCATTGACTATCAAATGTTCATGAAGCTTTCCCTGATTGCTTCTTTCATGAAACTATGTCGCAGGTATAGGTCACTGTATAAAAGGAAAATCTCGTGATTGAGCTGAAGACAGCAAACACTTTGAGTATAAATCAGTCAACTGTGACTAAAACACGTACATGATTATATGAGCAAGAAACAAATAACAAAGAAAGTTTCTCCCTGTCATTACAGGAAACGGACGCAAAGAACCTTTTTTATTTGTCTGGAATAACACAAGTAATTTAATATATGAGCAGCAGAAGGAATTGTAGCATTAGAAAAACCTTTTATTATTATTATTATCGTTCATGAGACTAGCTTAGAATCCAATCTGAAAATTGATCGCGATTTCTTTCCGAAAAATACCAGCCAAAAATTTGCTTAAACATATTTTACTTGCTAGTCCAAAAAAATAATCTTTGGTTCAAGAAATAGAATCACTAAGTAAACAGTTATTAATGTTTATAGATCTCGTTAAAACTTCGTTACATATTTCCGTTCTTCATATTTTTGAAGAAATTTGTAAAAGCTATGAAAGGAGTTTATCTCAGTCAAAGCCAGAAGATTTTTAAGCATTAAGTATAATTCATTTTAATCTCAAATTTCTACTTACATAATAAACAAATTGAGGCAAGAGAAGGACATAAATCAAAGATCAAAAAGGCACTAAAAACTGATAAAAAGAAATTAAAATGCGCTAATGAATCCAAAAGAAATGTAGTAGAATACTATGTAATGAAATATAAATTTTGAAATGATAAGGAGTTATGATGAATAATTATTAAGTTATTTAAGAGTTAATAAACCTGGATCCCAAACTTATGATAGGCAGAAAATTTCTGTATATTCCAATTAAACGTAGAGCATTGCTAACTGACCATTATACCAACAAATAATGAAATAATTAATTATAGCTTGTTGTTAATTGTTTTTGCAGTCATACCTCATTTTATGTATACCTCGACGAATTTATCTTTTGAAAATTAAAACTAATTTTAAAAATTTTAAAATTGTTCAGGTTTTCTCACTCGTTGCAAAATGATTGTCTGGTAGCATATAATCTTTCGCACTATATCTTTCGAACCAATCATCTGACGATATATAATTCTCCAAAATGGCGCTGCCGGTAATGCTATCTCGGCAGCACAATTTGAATAATCGTTGGACTGTATTTTATGAAATCCATTCCGCGAAATATTGTTAAGAATGACTTTCATAAAGGCGATACATTCTTATGTTATATTCTCTTTGATAAAGACAATACGTATAAAAGAATTATAAATCGTTATACTGATTGGAAACAATCCTGAGCATCATCTTATCACACTCGCAATCTCCCGGGAAATTCAACTCTAAGAGAAGCATTTCACTTTTATATTCCAGAAGTTGCCTATGGCGATGAGTTGAGATTATCAGTTCTGTTAACTAAGATAAAAGAAAAATACATAATCACGAAATATTAGTGTTCACTCCTCATACCGATTAATCTTCCGATTAATCCCAATATTTTCATAGAACATACCGATTAATCCCAATATTTTCATACAACAATGCATTCAGGAGCTTTCTTGTAATGTTCTGCTCTGATTTCCAGGGAAAGGCATGCCGGATGATTCCAGACACTTTCTTGCAAAATAATAGTGATTCTACAGCATTATGTTTAAGAATATGCTATTCGTTACACCTTAGATTAGTGATGGCACTCGGGCCGAGTGCAAGGCCTGAAAACCGCTGACGGACCAAAATTTCTAATTTTTTTTTTTTTTAACAAGCTGAAAATCTTTCGCTAGCATAAATAATAATAATACTAATAATAATAAAAAACTTGCTTTTTCTTCAGAAAAAGGAATAGGGTTGTTAGGCACTTCGTCTACAATTAAATGTCATTTTATATTGTGCTATATTTCATTATATCGTAACCACGATGTTTATTCCTTGACTTCTAAACACTCACTGAGGAATAAAA